TTCTCGATGACGTCGTCGGGGACGAGGGAGTGGCGCAGGTCCATCTCGGTGACGTACGGCTTGCCGTCGGCCACCTCGCGGAAGCTCTGGAACACCTGCTCGGCGGTATTCTGGTCCTCCGTCACGTCCACCATGAATCGGATGAACTGCTCGAATGTGACTCTGTCGCGACCCCGCGACGTCTCCGCGAAGTAGTCGTGCATCTCGTCCTCGCTAAACACCAGACCCAAGGACGCCAGTGCCGCCGAGAACTCCAGCTCTGCCAGAGAGTTCGTGTCGTCCCGGTCGAAGTATCGGAACACGGATTCGAACTCTTCTAGCTGGATCGGTGTTAGGTTCGTCATGCTGCGCGCCACCATCTGGTTCTCTAAGAAGGCGAGCTTCTTCTGCACCGACGACTTGATGAGCCCCAGTTCGTATAGCAGCTCGTCGTACGTGTAAGTTGTGAAGTCGTTCTCTTCGATGTTAGCTTCCTGACACTTGGCGTCGACGGCTGCGATCTTTTCTAGGTAAGCGTCCAGCGGCGGCAGGTTATCGCTTAGTTTTCGCACGTGCAGAAGTTGATCTTCTACATCTCCTTCGAGACCCGAGATGGCTATTTGCATTGTATTAAGAGCCAGCGCAAAGTCGTTGGCCTTGTCGGCAAACGATTTACGTAGGGCGTTCTTGATACTGCGGTAATGGTCAGCGAAGGAGAATCAACTATGCCTAAGAGGAACTCACTCTCGAATAGTCTCGTTAATCAGTTGGGCGCGCATCATCTCAGCCTCGGTTAATTTAGCCCATTCTCTATCCGTGGTCTCTAACGACAGCTCTGGAGGGGGCTCATACGCTCTAAGTCGGTAGGTCCCAAGCTTAGTCTTAATGTTTCCTAATAACGTAGCCAGGTCACTCTTCTCGGCGACCCATTCTCTCTTCTTACCCCTCTTATAAGATGCGAACTCGGTTGCTTGCCTCTTTGCGTCGACGTACGTTCCTTCGAAAGTTGCTTGCTGCCATTGTTCTACTTGCTCCCTGATCTGTCGTAACAACTCTGCCATCCGCTTCTCGTAGGCACTCTGCATCTCCCATGCTCCTTGCATGTTGTTAACGAACTTCTCTACTCGTCGGCCAGCATTCTCTACCTTCTCCATCTGCGAAAACGCGTGGAACCAGTAGGCGATATACGTCATCAAACTCCTCTCATCAGGCTTAGCAACATCGCAAACATCTTCGACATCAAGCAAGTCGGGGATACCGATCTCCTTACTGGCGATATCGAATGCTAGTTGCATGTTCCCTCGGTGGTCGGATTTGTCTAAAGCGTCGTAGTCGATAAGATCGGGTCGATGGATGTCTAACAGCGCGCAGAAGGCGAGTCCATCGTTCCAGCTACTACTGAAATCCCGAACGTCGACTTCGTCGTAACAGGCCGTTTTACGTTGACACCACAGGAGAAGACCCTCCTTGGCTGTCATACCCTCCTCGTTAATATCGCTAATGGTAAATCGCAGAATAAGAGTCCAAATAAGACCTAGGATAATTTTGCGATTCCCGTCGACTACATCTTCTGCACCGATATTGGTCATCTGAATCCCCCTCGACGTAATAAAGTTGAGCGCCGTGTTGGCATTCTCGAACTTCTGTACTCGCAACTTCGGTTTCGCCGCATATCGTCCCAACGATTCGTTGGACAAGCATTCGAGCAAGTGTATTAAAAGCACCTACGAATTAATATTGTCAGCTAAAAGATATATCGGTCTGGCAGCGGATATACCTACAGCATCGCTGAGGTCGGCAACGAGATCCTTAACCACTAAACCCCTCGGCAAAATCTTGTTATTCATCCTAACATTCCAGTCGTGTTAGTTACTGCTACTAGCAATCTCATCGTAAAAGAAGTATCAAATGAAATGGCGGCTAACCATTTTGTAAACGTCTTCTGTTGGACGTTGATCCACTGGTGAGCCATCTTGGATGAGGCGAGGCCCCCCGGCCGCTCAGGGGAAGCTTAAGTAGAACGAGCGGGCGCGATGCAATTCGAAGTCGTATTTATGCGATCCTTTTCGCCTTCGACTATTTATCGCTTTCCGAAGAAGTCGAAGACTAGATACTAGATACTAGATACTAGGATACGACGAGCGTGGATCGCAAATACTTGAATTCGATTCGGGCTGCGATCGGTTGGGTAGAATTATTATTCGAAAGGTCTCCTTTATTGCGGGATCTCGGCTTTGTAGAAGATGAAATATTGTAGCAGGATTACAGGCGAGGCGAGGCGAGGCGCGGCGCGGGATCGGGTTGAAATACTAATGGACTAATGGCTTAATGGCTTAAAAGGCATACAACAATTAAGAGGCTGGAGAAATAGTAGTAAATACAGGTTAACTCTGCATAATCACTGTTTCTCTTCTCTTCTCTTCTCTTTCTCGTGGTGTTGTGTTGCTAACGTTGCATCGAGCTGCCGAGTTGGGAATGCTTTGGTGATTGTGTACATCTTTACATCCTTTGTGTACTTCTTTCTGCCTCTTTCGACGTCCATAATTGGTTGCTAAGGGGATCCGATCATCCCCCTTATTCTCCCAGCCCCGCTACGGGGTCCCTATAATTATCGATAAGGAGACAAGTATGTACATACATGGTAACTCCTAAATGTTGGAAGTGGATTTGTGGGCTGAGGTCCCAGGGTCCCTCGTAAGATCTATTGATGGTAGGTACCTAGGTACCTACATAGATAGGTGCTATGTACATACAGATATGAAGAGGTACGTAGGTACATAATATATCTCTCCACACCGGCCTGCTGCATACATACATGTATGTATGTACATGTAGGTAGTGAGGTATCCTATGTATGTACACAAAAAGCAGTTGCCCGGGAATAGAGTTTCGCCGCCATTGTAGAATCGGCTAATTCCATAGAATTATTAATTATTTTTTGCTGCGTCAGCCCAGTAGTTTAAGCTTAAAACTCAATCGAATGTTTTTACTTTTATAACCGTCGTCCGTGATAGCGGTTTGTCGGTTTGATCATCTTAGACATGGCTTGCAGGTCAAGACTCGCTCCCGCTTTAAACCGGGTAGCGATACCGAGTTTGAGAAGATCCGTGGCGGTTGTCAATCCGGTCATCAACCCGATCATCAACCCGGTCATATCTGCTGCGCGACGTCTATCAAACACCGCTCCGAGGAGGTTCCGAGAATCCAGCATAAGATGCGCCGGATTCACAACCGATTCCTACCCCGAAATCAAGCGGGATGGCCGTTTTGCTCAGATAACAAATGAGCACGTGGGCTATTTCAAGAACCTTCTCGGCAAGGATTCGGCTGTCGTCGACGGTGTAACCGGCAATGCCGGGGAAGATGAGATAGAACCATTCAATATGGACTGGATGCGGAAGTACAAGGGCCATTGCAAATTGGTGCTGAAACCGGGATCTACCGACCAAGTCAGCAAGATCCTGAAGTATTGTAATGAAAACATGTTGGCTGTCGTCCCTCAAGGAGGTAATACCGGTCTTGTCGGCGGCTCTGTACCTGTATTCGATGAGATCGTCATCAGCACTAGCCGAATGAACCAGATTCGATTCTTTGATGAAGTGACCGGTGTCCTAGTTGCGGATGCAGGTGTCGTACTGGAAGTAGCCGACCAGTTCCTCGCCGAGAAGGGTTATATTTTCCCCTTAGATCTTGGTGCTAAGGGTTCCTGCCACATCGGCGGCAACGTCTCGACCAATGCTGGCGGGCTGCGGTTGTTGCGGTACGGAAGCCTACACGGGACTGTCCTAGGCGTCGAGGCCGTTCTTCCCGACGGGACAATCTTGAACGACTTGAGCAGGTTGCGGAAAAACAACACCGGCTACGACTTAAAGCAGCTTTTCATCGGCGGAGAAGGAACTATTGGAATGATCACTGCAGTATCGATGCAATGCCCCCAACGATCTAAAGCTGTTAATGTTGCGTTCCTCGGTGTTGAATCTTACGATAAGCTCCTGCAAGCTTTCAGGGAAGCTAAGACGCAACTTGGCGAAATCTTATCTGCCTTCGAGTTAATGGACTCCCAGAGTCAGGACATTTTCCACAAGGTCAAGGGGAACAAACGACCTCTTGATGGCGAACACCCTTTCTACTGTCTAATAGAGACAAGCGGTTCAAACTCCGAACACGATAGCGAGAAGTTGGAAAACTTCCTCGAAGATGTCATGTCCAAGGACATTGTTAGCGACGGTGTTATGGCACAAGATGAGACCCAATTCAGGTCGCTATGGAGCCAAAGAGAAGGTATCACGGAGACCCTAGGGCACTGGGGTGGAGTATACAAATACGACGTGTCGATCCCCATAAAAGAAATGTACCAGCTTGTGGAAGATACCAGGAAGAGGCTAGAAGACGCAGGGCTAAAGGATGACACCGGAGAGTCTCCTGTCGTCGACGTCGTTGGTTACGGTCATATGGGAGACTGCAACTTGCACCTAAATATTGCTGTGCGGAGATATGACAAGAAGGTAGAGGAAGCTCTCGAGCCGTTTGTTTACGAGTGGATCAGCAAGAGGAACGGCAGCATCAGTGCCGAGCACGGCTTAGGTATTGCTAAGAAGAAGTACATCGGGTATAGTCGAAACGAGACGACGGTAGGATTGATGAAGCAAATTAAGAACCTCTACGATCCAGTCAGTATCCCCTCATTCCGCCTCTTTGGTCTTTAGACTATACTAACATGATCTCCAGAATGGCATTATGAATCCTTACAAGTACATATAGAGATGAATTGTACACTTGTAAAATTTATAGCGTCTTCAACAGATGAATTTAGGTTATTCCAAGGCTAGGTCACTGTATATATGGACTCAAAAGGAGGTTGGAAATGAAAAAAAGGATACCCCATGAGCAATCTGTAAGGTAAACTACATACCCAAAGTTTCTCTACAGATGAAACGTCTGACTCTACATGAAAACTTATACAACGATATAAAAATATAAAAAGTATTTACAAGTATATACGCCTACTTCCCTTAGTGTATCCTATGTAAAAAGCCTCAATTCTCGTGAAATCTCAATAGTTATTCAGAGCAAACTAGGTACCTAGGTACCTAACCTATACATGTTACATGAGTGGGTATAAGTCTTATCGATAAGAAAGACACATCGAATTTGATAAGACAAAAAAGAGCCCGTCCAGGAAATTTACATACTTCGTCCTCGAGTAAGTAGATATCGTCGCACCACAAGACCACCCCCGTGCCAGACTCGCCCTTACCCTTCTCAAAGTACATACATTAGGTACATACATGCATTAGGTACCTACGCAAGATCCGCACCGCAAAAATGGCCGACGGCAACATCAACCTCAACGACTTCGACCTCAGCAAGCTGAACGGGAACGACAAGGCCGAGCTGCGCCAGTTCTTCGCCAACGAGGGCCAGAAGGCTCGCATCCAGACCAGTACGTTACGTAGTTTCTCTCCGGGACCCTGACTGACCCCTTCGTCCTTGTACAAATCACTACCTACCTACCTACCTACCTACCTACCTAATCTACCCAATCCTCCCTCCCACCTCACCCCGCCTCCGCGCAAAAACCCACAAATCAAGTATCGGTTACCTAGGTACTAACACATATTCCTCCCTCCCCCCTCCGCAGCCGTTCACTCCCTAACCGACATGTGCTTCCGGAAGTGCATGACGAGCACGGTCCGCAGCGGCAAGCTGGACAAGGGCGAGGAGGGCTGCATGGTCAACTGCGCGAACCGCTTTATCGACGTGAGCCAGTTGACCGTCAAGCACCTGCAGAACTTGCGCCAGGGTTAGATGGATATTATGGGAAATCCGTGGTATGGGATTTTCACGATCGATATGTGCCGGCCGTGAGAGAATACGTTAGGTATGATGAGGAATTGTATGAATAGCTACATACGAGCATCAAGAACTGGGGGGCTAGGAGCGCATCGCGTGGAACGAACTGTCTTAAACGCGGTATCCGGGGACCGGGGACCGGGTTAAAGGCGCCAGATGGACGTATAAAACTTGTAACCATAAAATCACCACCACTAATAGATCACCTGGGAAGCCAAACCACATTAACAATCAAATCACCTTAAACAAGTTCAATAATTCGTGTCTGAGAAATCAATTCTTTTCCGTTGATCTCATAAGCCTAGCCTAGCCATCCATAGGCAACGCAACGCCGGCCTTTATGCATATAGTCCACCCGGACTCGAGAATGTGCATCTAATCAGCACAATCTGCCATGTCATCACTTGCCAAATCATTGCTGAACCACCGCGCGAATCAGGTATCCCCCTCTCGAACCCGCTAATTTAAACAAGGGCGAGCTTGGTAGCCGCAATGTCGAGGGCGTCCACGTCAGCGGTCAGACGGCAGTAAGCCTTCTTGGAGCCATTAGGTCTGTATCACGTAGTCAGTAAAACCGTACCAAACCAAAACACCACCAAGACCAAAATTTGATAGTGGTCGGAAACCTACCGGATGAGAGTGTTGATCTTGACGGTGTCGATGTCGTAGAGTTTCTTGAGCGACTGCTTGATCTGGGCCTTGTTGGACTTGGGATCGACGATGAAGACGAGGGTGTTGTTCTCCTCGATCTTCTTCATGGCGCTCTCGGTGTTGAGCGGGTGGATGATGATCTTGTGCTCATCCAGACGGGGCTCATGGGGGACAGACTTGCGGTGGTACTTGGGCGAGCGCGAGAGCTGGAGGGTCTTGGGGCGGTGGAAGGTCGTCGAGGTGCGAACCTTGCGCTTCTTGTGCGAGTTGTCCTGCGCCGACCATTAGCATTCCGAGGGGTGGAAACTTTTATGGAAGCCGATCATCACATCGATATCGACATCGACATTGCTATTGTTAACTTACGCCTTTGAGGGCAGCCTTAGCAGCAGCATTGGCTTGCTTCAGACCCTTCGGCGCCTTGGAGGCACCGCCTGTGTAGAGAAAAAACGCATCAGCAATCGCTCTTGAATCAGAACTCGCAAAATCTGCTCTGCTCGATGCATCGGCCAGGAAGACGCGCGCGGAAGCAGCGCCAATTCCGACGAATAATCATCGTGTGGGAAATCTTGTCCAAGACGACTGGCGACTTTATTTATGGTGGTAGTGGTGGTGGTGATGATGTACCTTTCTTCGTAGCAGCCTTGGGACCCATTGTGATTGTGCTGGCAGATGTTGGCTGTTAGTATGACTTCGCGGTTGTCGTCTCGAGGAGGTTGAAAAGATCGAGCGAAGTTCGAGTGGTCGAAAATTAGTTGGAGGTAGATTTTGCAAAATTCGCTTAGGGTATTTTTGCGTTGTGGACCCACTTAGAAGTCTACTGGGTAAACTTCTGTAAAACTTCGGGAGATTTGAACTAGTCCGCCAGTGCATCCTCCAGCCAAAAATTTATGCGTTTGCACGTGACACACATGGACTTCCCGGAACTTCATACACTGTGTTCGCCTATTGATTTGTACTTTGTAGTACAGTGCTTTATATATCAACACTGTATTTATACTTTCCCAATACCAGGCAACCAGAACCTAATGTTCCTTACCGCACAACCTTTAAAAGTACTACGACTTATACGACACAACAGCGACTAGGCCACTAATTTGATACTTTCTGGCGTGATGGGGGTGAATAGGAGAGGCCGAGTGAAAAACTTGACTACAGGGCGACCTCCAACCGTCTTAAAACCGAAGTCGATATCAAGAAAAGCTACCAGGACATTAATTAATTCCCATCATGTACTAGAGAAGAAGAAAGCTCAGGCCGTAGCTAAAGGGGATATAGCTATGCAGGCCGCAGTTGAAGCCGAGATTGCTGCCCTAGGGGGCCTCGAGAAATACCAACAGGCCAGCCTTCAAGGCCAGCGCCTCGACCGCGGGGGAGACAGCTCCCGCGTGCTCATGGAATGGCTTAAGTCGATGGACTCTAGTCTCTCTTCTTCTACGGGAACTCGACCAAGAATGCTTGAGGTGGGTGCGTTGAGTACTACGAATGTATGTTCGAAGAGTGGTGTCTTCGAGGTGGAAAGGATAGACTTAAACAGTCAAAGCGATGGTATTTTACAACAGGACTTTATGAAAAGACCGCTACCTAAAGATGATTCTGAACGATTCGACATAATTAGTCTTTCATTGGTCCTGAATTTCGTCCCTGATGCTATGGGACGAGGTGAAATGCTTCTCAGAACTTTGGATTTTCTCAAGGAACCTGATACAGACAGCTCATCTCAGCTACGTGATATCTTTCCGAGTCTGTTTATGGTTCTACCAGCTCCAGTAAGTCACTTCTCAATATTGTTAAAGTTGCCTCCTATCTTTTTCGGGTCTCGCCGTCGTCCAGGCAGATATAGCTATTGGAATCGGCATGTGATACATGCAAGCAATTTCCTACACGTTTACTTGCTACTACTACTATAACAGATATTGCTAACCAATGAATACTACAGTGCATCACCAACTCGAGATATATGAACGAGGCTCATATAGAGTCCATCATGAGAACATTGGGATACGTAAAAGCCCAGAGCAAGACCACTCAGAAACTCGTCTACTACCTTTGGGTCAGGAAGTCGCTGCTCCAATCGCCTCTTACGTCGTTCAAGAAATTGGAACTTCGATCTGGCCACACTCGAAACAACTTCGCCATCGTGATTCGCGGCTCATCAGGGTGATAGCCAGTTTTTCAATCAAAACTCCAAGTGCCGTTCACACCCACAAGGCTCGCAGATGAGACGCATAGCCACCTAATCGATTAGAACATGTCGACAAAACTTGCGATGGTGGGTACCGTCGCCGCGTTAATCTGATAACGCTCTCGTCGCTTACTCTCGAGAGAGGGTTGCAGTTTGCGTGCACTACCACCTCAGGTTAGTGTCAGTCAGTCGTCTTTCCGCCCTACCCCTTACTTTATTATGTCTCAATCTGCCCGACGTGTATCCCACTGGATGCGCCTCTGACAGCTGGGTTAGCAGGGAGGGCACCTTTCTATCTATCTATCGAGATCGCCAGTCAGTGGACTCGTGTGTGGTGTTAGGTCTACCCCGCAGTCAATCGTCTATCTATCCGATAGGCTTGCATCGAAATTCGGGTCAGGCGACGTCCGAGCCATTTGTATGGGAACCGATTAAACTGCTTTTGGGGCACTCCGGGTTCCCGTCTAAGGGGAACAGTCGAAATATCTGACGATATATTGCCTGATGATTGGCAACGAAGACGCATATCTCACCCATCGCAAGGATCAATTGCTAAAATTCACAATATGCAGCAATGCCTTCGGTCGTATGTGATTACCTGAGCTAGTGTGATATTGGGGAATATATTGGCGATCCTAGTTGAAACGCATACTACCGTTTCTCTCGTTTCTCCCGCTTCTCCCGTAATCGCTAGCGTTCTACGGGGCAACTTTACCCGGGGTCTTCATTGCAGCCACGCTTCGTTACTGGGACTATTGTTGATGGGAAAGTCATAGCGACGACAAGATTCGGCCAGACAAGCGCATATCTGTTCCTTGGGCATAGACAAGGCCATCTCCCGACTCGCCTTAGTCAGGCCAGCTCCAACCGGAGACAAGTTGTTAACCAGCAATGGACCAATGCGATTCGAAACGATTATGAGTTCAAGGGCGTCTGGGTGTCATTACTTCCTTAGCTACATAATACCGACATCTGCTAGACGCCCAATTGGCCAGTCGCGCCTCCTATTTGTCAAGATGGCGTTCCTGGAATGCGTTCTAGACCCTGGGTTGACGACAAGTCCTCGTGGGAGGGAGGAGGCCCTGCGTACGTTGAGGCGGCGTCACCCCAATCGGGAATATACATAGTCACTATGTCACGATTCAGGACTGGAGTTGCTAGCGGCAACGGCGAAAGCGGGTGCCTTTCTTTACCTGCCTATGCACACACAGACGTACATACATACATACGGTACATATGGAGATGGGCTTGGCTCCAGTTGATGAAGACCAGACCCCCCCGCTTTGGTCAGATGACGGACGGACGATCAAGCAATCAAATCAACTATACAATTCGTTACCTAACATAATGCAGCACATGTATAGACTGATAGCGGATACCCCTTAGTTACGAGTCATGTAACCTGGTGTAGGTATACTATGTTCATATGTACGTAGTTCGTTTACCCCGGATTCCACCCTGTAGCACGGAAACGATGTCCCAGCCACGATCGCCGACCTTCTTTTTAAATCATACGTAGCCGGGGGGCCGTCGTGAAACTGCCCACTAGTTTATCATCACGCGTGCGCCCGCGTTGGAGATCGCCGGGGGGGTCGCTGCGGGGTCGGAGACTGGATAGACCCATTGGAAACAGGCTAGCTACCTGGGCTTCGCGGAATCAATGCGTGTAGTGTAGTGTAGTGTAATCGTGCGTTATTGCCGGGACTTTCTGATGGGCTAGATGCTAGTTTACGTTGACCGTTACTCGCCTCCCGAGTGATGCGGAAAATTGCTTGGAGGATGATGATAATTGCCAGCTGTAAGGGGTCACTAGCGATATCTATCATTGGAGAACCCCATCTACGATTCCGAGACATCAACAACCGGTGAAACTAGATGATGCTACGCAAGTATACCTGTCTCCGATCGATTCGAAGAAACACCAATTCCTGTGTTTCGGTTCTCATACTAGATAGAACAATGGATGATTTCAAAAGGGCACGGTTTCTCTGCCTACTAAAGCAATAGTCGCTTGACTATCTAGGCCCGATCCGCACGAAGCTACGGGTGGCTAGCCTTTAATCATCACGCTTGGGATATAGAGAACACTTGGATCCTCTAGGAAACGATCGGTCTGCTAATTAGCCTACAAATCGTAAGGGGGGGGGGGGGGGGGGGGGGGGGGGGGGGGGGGGGGGGGGGGGGGCGGGGGGGGGGGGCGGGGGGGGGGGGGCGGGGGGGGGCGCGCGGGGGGCGAC